GTGTGTTTTAATGTGTGTGTTTGTTTGGGAAGCGCGTTTGCATGTATCGACACATGCACAGATCCAAGGGCTCAATGTTTGCAAGCACACATGTACATATGTGTACATGAAGATGTTCATATTGTATTTAATATTTTCGAAATTATTTATAAATAATGCTTTTTTTACAAAGAAAATGAGATGCCTACTCTTAGATAAATGAGGCCTATGATTAATCAGATGCAAACAGAATTATAAAACCAGTACTAATTAAAAGAGAACAAGTTGACAAAAAGATTGAATCCAATATTGGGTGATAATATGCATAACAAGTGATTTATAAGCTATTTCTTTAAAGGCCGGTCATTTTTTACCAGGAACACCACAAGTGTTATAGGGGTTTGAACACAACATAATGGATAAGTAAACCTAAAAACATAAATTCTGTTATCCTAATTAAGAAATCATTTTCTGTATATTCTTTCTCTTTTCTGCAATTCACTTCTGCTGTAGCTTCTTTCCTTTTAATAAACCTGTTATTGTATAATATTGTTGGCTCTGTAACAAATGGTTTGTTGTGTTCCTAGATCTTCCATGCTGATGCCCTGCATCGTAGCAGAGTTGAGCTGATCATCATCTCTAAGGCACCATCAACCATACATGACTAGTAAGTAAAACTAAACCAAAGACAAATTTCCACTTGTGGACAAAGGAACTAAACTAAAACTTCAAACATACACTAATGTTAAACACACTAATGTTGTTGGTACAATTTTTTTATGTTTTGAAAGAAGTCTCTTATGCTCACCAAGACTGCATTTATTTAATTAAAAATACAGTAAAAACAATAATATTGTGAAATAATATTAAAACATTTAAATAATTGTTTTCTATGGAGAAGCATCAAATCATCCTTCAGAAATCATTCTAATATTATAATTTGATGAAACATTTATGATTATTATCAGTGTTGAAATCAGTTGTGCTTGTCATATCTTTTCTTCCTTAAGCAGTAATGACCACTGACGACTTGAATTACATAAAACTAACTGTTTACTGAAGTTTACGAACAGGATTACAAATGAATACAGCGCACACACATGGATGTCAATCTCATCACTCTTCTCTCTATTCTATCTGCGCGCTCTCGCCCCGATGCATTTTGGGTCGACTTTTCTTAAAGCTGAACAACCTTGTAAATGACAACACTGTTTCTGTTATTATTAAAGATAATTAATTAAACATTTCTATTCTAATTAATTCACAACAGTGCTGCTTCATATTTTTGTGTTTTTCAGGATTATTTGATGAATAGAAAGGAAAAAAGCAGCATTTATTTGAAACAGAAATCTTTACTCTCTCTTCTGGTCAATTTAATGCATCCTTGCTGAATAAAAATATGAATTTATTTAATTTTTTTAATTCTATTGAACCCAAACTTTTGAACAGTAGTATAAACTACCATTTACGTATGTTGGGTCTATTTAACAATTAATTCTGGAGAGAGAAAAAAGAAAATGGAATAAATTGTTACACTGGTTTACACAAAAATATTAATCAGCACAACTGTTTTTAACATTGATAATACTCAGAAATGTTTAGGACGTTTGCATTGTAATAATGTATGGTGTTCAAATATAAAAATGCTGACTCGTTAGTCATGTTTTCTCATTAAAATCAGACAAGTTCCTATTAATTCAATTGAATGTGAGGGAATAACTCTAGAATAACCTTCCTGATAATGTTTGGGGCCCAGAAACACAATCCTAATTTAAATCTAGATTAAAGACGCATCTCTTTATCCAAGCATTCAATTAACACATCTCATAATCTTGCACTATAAGACTATAAAATAGTAAAAAGTGCACATGATCATCTTTTGCCTGAAATATTACAGCAGGTATGCTAATCTTTCTCCTATTGTTTCCCTGTTTCTATCTCAGGATGCTCGGCAAGTTTACTAGATATTACAGCAGCTCCAGTTTGGATCCAGCCTCACTTGTGAAGACTTCTAATGACACCAACACTCTTGAAGACTTCAGATGATGACAACTATAGATGGACATAAAAAACTGCCAGATATTAACCTTATATTGCATTGGCCCGGTTTCACAGACAATCTGCAAACTTGCCCTTTTGAAATGTTGAAGGATAGCAAAAATTTGTCTGTTTAAAGCCTGGAACACACCAAGCCGACGCTGACGAACTAGCGCCGATGAAAGCCGACTGTGTTGTCGCCTCTCGTCGGGGTAAAAAGCTGCACTTGAACACACCGAGAGAACTACAGGCGACTGTCAGCTAGAATGCGCGTTCTGCGCCTGCGTGTAAATGAGACAATTAACTGTCTATTTCTGCAGATATATTCTCTATATTCGTCATTCAAAAAGGGAAACCGACGCTGTCGGCTGCAGATACACAAACCATAAACAAAGCAGTGTGTGCTTACCGTTCTGAATATCAATCCTGCTAAACACTTTCTTTATTCCACTCCGCTCGTGTTAATATTGAAATATTCAAAGAAGTTTTGACTTCTTTGCTCGCTGTTTTGCTATTATTCTCCTGCATTGACTCTTTCACTATGCTGAACAGCCAATCAGAGTTCTCTCTTTCACCGACGGCCCGACGCCGATTCAACATGTCGAATCGGCCGAAACAAAGCCGACGAGGACCAATTTCAGCCGACGGCACGGAACCGTGCGGAACACACCGAGGAAACTCAGTCGGACGACGCACAAAAACTGCCCGACGGCCGACCGTCGGCTTGGTGTGTTCCAGGCTTAACTGAACATGACTTTAAACTCATGACTTGTATCTTATGGACTTTACTTTGTTGCCAGAAGATGCTCTCCAGTGAGTAGCAGTCGCCTCTGGCTGATTAAATTATATTTTGTGATTGTAACCATGAACATGCATTTTCTGTAAAGCTTCTTTGAAACGATTTGTGTTGTGAAGAGCACTATATGGTTTTACTATGGTAAAACTATCAACCATGTTATTTTTTTTCAAAACCATGGTTCAACTAGTAATATTGCTGTAATAATTGCTGTAAAATTATGGTAACCATGACTATAACCATAGGTTTTTAAACCTTGGTTGTTGTGAAAATGCTGCAAATGCTGTGGTAAAACCATATGGTTAATTTTCATAAGGGTACTACAAATATACTTAAATTATCCTATAATGTACTTGACTAATAGTCACGTTGAGTAAAATAATCTGATAAATATAAATGTGTTGTTAATTTAATCTGTCCACTGAAAATTAATCTAATAAAAATATATTTGCAACTGCTATTGAGACTGGTGTACATTGCTTATTTTTTTTATCCATTATAGTGTAAGGCCATTTTGGTTAGCATGAGTAACTGATTATAAACCGTGGACCGACCGTGGTCCGCCAGAAAACACTTATTATAAACCAGCGGCACGATAGCGGACCACCGTCGGGAAAGCGGCGTCTGCCGCTGGAGGTCCGCTAGAATAACGATGAGCAAAACGCCAGTGATCCGCCGGCGGCGTCCGCCAGTGGGCCGCCGACTTTGCCACCGGTGGTCCACCACTGGACCGCTGGACTCATGTTAGCTGGGTATGTTCATTCACGTGTGATCTTACAACTGTGACTGAGGCAAAAGAGAAAGAAATCTTGTTGAAAAATTAAGAGATTTGGAAATCATTTCAGTTTTGAATATTTCAGAATGCACAGAAACAGTTAAGGGTGTATGATAATCAGATTTGATTATAAGGATCTTTTCTTTTCTTATTTAATTATTCCTTTCGTTCATCGAGGCTTCACAGATTCCCAGTAGGTGGCTGTCGCGGAAATGCACCTCAAGCTGGTTTTCCAACCGCCAAAACACACAAAGAAGAAGGGGAGAGAAGGGAACAGAAAGTGGGGAGAAGCGAAACGCGGTAAACACGCAGAATGCAGATTTAGGGACTTTTTTTGCCGTATCTGCAATATAGACTGTAAAAAAAGTGATCTGTAATTTTATTTCTGAAAATGGCGGTTCTATTAAAATTGGTTTTGGTGTTGTTTTTATTCGACCATGGTAAGACTTTTTTTTTTTTACAATCTCTCTGCCAGCTAACGATAAAACGAAAGTTACCCAGTTACATCCAACGTGTTTTCAAACTAGTACTAAAAATAAAAACAATGTTTTGTGATTAAAAGCACAATTTTCTTACTTTTTTCTGGCTGATACGATGTTCATTAAGTTTAATGCGAGAATCATTGTCTGATGAGTGAATGTGTAAATCAATGATGATCGTCTGCTATACTGTTTGTTTGGCTGTTACATTATGAACCCAGACGAACTTCTCTACTCAACCTTTAAGAGCATTAGATAAACATTTTCGCAGCGCTTACCTGTTGTTTATTTTTGTTTGGCTCACAAGTAACCTAATTTCTTTTTCAGTTCTTTTCGATACCCGTGTCGGGGTGTCAGTGATGGAGGGAAATTCAGTCTCTCTGAACACTTATGTTAAAACAAATCAGCAAGAAGATATTAAATGGTATTTTAATGACATTCGAATAGCTGAAATCAGCGGAGATCTCAGTGATATCTGTACAGATGTTCAGTGTGAAGATGGTGATGAAAGATTCAGAGACAGACTGATGCTGGATCATCAGACTGGATCTCTGACCATCACAAACACCAGAACCACAGACTCTGGACTTTATGAACTGAAACTCATCAGCAGCAGCAGCATCAGTGAAAAGATCTTCGATGTTACTGTTTACAGTGAGTCAATTAATGAATGTTTAAAAGCAGGTTAAATAGGTTTAAATCAAATCACAAATCAACATTCAGAAGTGTTGTATTTTAATGCAGTTTACTCACACTTGTTTGAAAATTTGTTTATCTCTTCAAAAACATTGTTAAAAAAAAATTCCAATATTTTAAAATGTGTGAACTGCACACTATTTTGTACACACAAAAAGATAAATTGTTTCCATTGTTGTTTTTCATTGTTGTTTTGTTTTCAAGAAAGATCCTTCAATCATCTGTTGGTTTGTTTCAGGTGTTCCTGCTACAGAACAGGATCAAAAGTCAGTGAAGAAGGGACAATCTGTCACTTTTGATCCTGGAGTAGTAAGAAAACCAAGTGATGTGATGAGGTGGTATTTTAATGAGATTCTCATCGCTGAAATCACTGGATATCAGAGTAAGATCTGTGAAGATGAACAGTGTAAAGAAAGATTCAGAGACAGAGTTGAGGTGAATTATCAGACTGGATCTCTGACCATCACAAACACCAGAACCACAGACACTGGACTTTATGAACTGAAGCTCAGCAGCAGCAGCCTTCGTCGCATCAGCAGCGCTGTCAGTGTGAAGCGCATCGGCGTTACTGTTAGTGAGTATAATTTAGCTCTCATGAACAATTTTTTAAATATAGGCTAGTTCTTTTTTTTAATCTATCTAGTAAATCCTTTTATTGTGGGCAATTAGAAAAAGATTACATGAAAAATGTATAAAATTAGTTTTTCTGTGAACATTTCCTTTTAAGCACAGTGTTGTGATGCTGTTTTAGCTGCTGTTATTTTTTTATTGTTAAAAGATGCTGCCATTTAATAGTTAAATCAGTATCATACAGTTGATGACCAAAGTACAAAGGTTTAAATATCAGCCAAAGATTGTTAATGTTAGTTATCAGTCACTCTCTAGTAATAATGTCTGTCTGTCTGTCTTCATCTGTTTCAGATTCAGGTCTGTCTTCAGGAGCTGTAGCAGGAATGGTTGTTGGTGTTGTTGTTATTCTGTTGCTTGTTGTGTGATTTACTATTGGAAGCACAAGTGAGTATTACATATAGTTGATTTAACAAGATTGAAACTGTGTGTAAATGATAATTCATCAAATGCTTTAACGTGATCTGTGTTTATTTAATTTTGTTATTATTATTAAACAGATAGCCTCATTCAGTTAAAATCTGATCCGATTTAGCAGTTGTGAACAAGAAAAAAATTACATGCAATGCAATTTTTACAAATCCATTTGAGCTTCATTCATATGTGGTTTGAAATCCTATTCCAATCACAGTTCTGGAAATCTGTTTCAGTCTGACCGCTCTGATCGGATTTCACACGGTTTATCCCACTTTCTCACGCTGTGTAAAATAAGCTGAAAGATGCTGCAGAAACAAGGTTGTGTTGTTGCAAAGTGCCTGTTGAACAGAAAATTCGTCTGGCAGAGACGACAATTGATAAGACAATATCTGTATTGCCCCTTTATGTTGCTGTTTTTGTTCTTGGCATTTGCCTAACAATGCAACGTCATTTCCGTAGAAAGCAATGCAGATAATCCGGAAAATGAAAAGAGCTCACAAATAGAATCTAAACAGTTTTAAAATGTGGACGGTCAATAAGGCCTTGTTTACACCTGGTGGATGTCGACCACTTCCAGAGGTAGTTGAAAATGCATTTGACCAGATTACTTTCGTAGTGAAAACGCTCATGTGGTCGAAAATGTGTTCAAACAGCCACAAAGACCGTCTACTCTCCGTCTACTGAACTATTGTGTAAACATTATGAGAAGTGCTCTAGCCAGACGGGATTTAAACTTTGTCGGCTGGAGACAAGTTTGGTTTGAAGACGAAAAACACACCAAGCACAATGTTCTCTCATCATTCCTGATTTCTAACACACACTCATCTGGTCTTGCGTCTGTCAGAGCAGAAAGCTGATGATCTCTGTGTGTTTTCTGTCTGTATCTTTACCTGCTCATAGAACCTCCCCTCGAAGAATCAGGACAGAAGTGGTTAAAGTGGACAAAAGAGACACATGAAAACAGGTGTAAACAGGAATGTGTCTGCCTCGTCTACTTGTGATCCGATCGACCAAAACGCATCTAATACCAGGTGTAAACAGGGATTAATTGTAAATCAAATTCCAATCGGATACACAAATACTCTGAAAGCAGCTGCATTTACATCGACTTTAATAATCCTCTTGTAATCGGACTAGCAATAGACGGAATAAGTCACATGTAACCACATCAATCGGAATGAATTAGACAAATCTGGTTAATTTTTCACAATTTGAAATCCGTAAATCAACACCAATAGAGTTAATTTCAACAGTTTAAAAGTGTATAAATGGGAACCACCCACAAAGTGTTAATTCAACACTTTCAAAAGTGTTGCCTCTTGCAACACCGACACATTGTTACAATATGAACACTAAGAGAATATTAACACCAATGCACATACAGTAACAACAACACTGTTACAGAGCTGGGTGCAGCTTTGGCAGAGTCAAAATTCTACACTGTTCTAGTGTTGACCTAACACTTAAAAAAAAATGGAAATCACAATCTTCTCAACCATATAGGAGTCAAATATTACAACATCCTGGTGTTGATAGAACACCTTTTTACAAATAAAAACAACACAAAGGGAGATCCCAGTTTTTCTTATCAGGGTTCTGCATTATCAACTGTAAAATAAACTGACAAATCATTTAATCTGAAAATAATAAATTCACTTTGAAATAAACACATCACTCTATATTACTCTTCCAAAACTTTATTTCAAAACAATCCAAAAGTTAAATTGTAACCTTAGTCTGGGATCATAGTAGAATTATGTTCATTGTAAAGTTAAAAATAAAGGCAAAATGCAAACAGTTGTTTTTAACAAACTAGTTTTCTATTAATGAACAAGCTCCTTTACATCATAGGTTAACTTTTAAAGTAAATGATGAAGGCACAATATAGGCATTTCTGTCACAGAATTAAATGAAAGCTGCTTATTAAATGGTCTGTAATACTTCAAGTCCTGTACATGTCAGTGAATGTAAGTCCTGTGTCAGTGAAGTTGATTCAGTAGCCTTGACTTTGCAACAGTACAGTAGTGCTTGAGTCAACAACATTCAGCAGATGAAAAACAGTCGCAGGATATGAGTGGATCAGTTGTGTCCAGTTGCTAACAGTAAAGTTCAGCGCATAGTTGTTGTTTCACAGAGCAGGAAAGGCTGTGCAGATCCAACTTTCTCAAAAAATCCTGAAGTGCTGGTTCCCTAGACGACACAAAACCAGGCTAATTACAATTAATACAATTTGTGTTTTATAAATACAGCAAGTTTGTGGTGAAAAAAGTTCAATCATCTTAGACTTTCGTGACTCAACCATTTTGGTTAGATTAAGGCTTGAATTTACTGATTTCCAAGTGAACTTAAATCATCCAAAAATTGTAATTCTGTCATTATTCACCCTCAAGTTGTTCCAAACCAGTAAGAGTTTTGCTCATCTTCGGAACGCTTAATGAAGATATTTTTAATGAAATCTAAGAGATTCATCGACAGCCTATTCAACTACCACTTCCAAAGCCACTGAAAGGGTTAAAGGAAATCATAAGTAATCCATGCGACTCCAGTGGTTTAACCTCAATTTTATGATTTTTTTTTAAACAACAATTTTAACTCCACTTTATTTACAAAATATTAATCTTTAATGCACGCTCTCGCATCAACATGCATGAGTTGTAATGTTCTCATGAATGCATGTTGGAAATTAATATTTTATAAATAATTGGTAAATGTTTTTTTGTTGCAAACACAGCACTTGTGTAGTTAGTTGATGTTAAACCACTGGAGTCGCATGGCGTACTTTAGTGATGTACCTTTATACCTTTCTGGGGCTTGAAAGTGGTAGTTGCGTGGACTGTCAATGGAGGGACACAAAGCTCTCAGATTTCATTAAAAATCTTTATTTGTGTTGTTAAGATGAAAGAAAGTCTTACATTTTTGGAAACACATGAGGGTGAGTAATTAATGACAGAATTTCCATTTGCGGGTGAACTAACCCTTTAAGAATAAATGAAGACACGCACCTTAAGAAATCTCACTAAATAGTCAGCTGCCGGAAGAGTCTTTGTTCCCTTCTTGTGGCTTTGTGATGTTGGGGCAGGTGTTGGGCAAAGATTTCCCAATCGGTTGAGTCTACAGCAAGAAAACATCTACCCGTCAAATCATGAAAACAACTGGTTTGAAAATTCATTTTAAGTAAAAAATAAATTAATAAATAAATTACTTTTGTAAAGTAATTTGACTGGACAAATTCAAAATGAGTGTTATGAAACACAGACAATCAAGTTATACCAAATATCAACAAAGCTATGATTATTTTTGTATGTTTGTGCCCATGATTCTCTCATATGTTATCTGTTAAATCTTACCATCACCGGGTTCTAGTCTGTATAGTCTTTAAACACCAAGCCTGGGACCCTTAGCCACTTGCTGCATAATAGAAATGCTTCTAGCAAACACAAATAGCAAATTCAATCAATTTAAACATGAAAGCATATACAAACATCAACCTAGTAAATCTGATAAATAGACAACATTTTGCATAAATATTTAATCTGAAAGAATTACTTACCCATTCTAAGAAAATTGGACCTCCAAATAAGTAAATAAAGTAACAATTTTGCGTGCATTGTTGGTCCGCAGTTTGTGGAGTTAATCTTCTGTTTTTCAGTTTCGCTAGGTGTGCTGGCAAACGAGAGTAAAACATAGTTTGAGGATAAATACATGCTTAAATAATTGTAATAATTTATTATTAATTAATATAATATAATTATTAATTTATATAAGCTTTAATAATTGTAATAATATACAAATAAAAAGTGCAACTCTTTGTAGAGAGTCTTATTTGTGCTCACTAATACACTATTTCAAGGATTTTAGATGTGCAGGCTGTTTAGGAAAGATGAATGTTCCAAAATCAGAAGATGTGTTTAAAATTAAAACTCACAATATAAAATGACAGTCACTATTAGAAAAGGCCAAATTTTTCCAGAATGTGATATTTAATTCTCAATGCTTCAGGCAATTGCATGCAAACATTTTTATTACCGTAGTAAAGAAGATAAAACTGATTCAGTTTAGCAGACTCAAGATGAACCATCTTGTTTTTAGAGGTGTCGTAGGGTTGTTTCTGACATGTGAGATCCAGAAAACACACTTCCAGTCCAGTGCTGCGTTTGTAAACTATATTAATCACAACGCTCGATTATGTCATTTTAAACTCACAGTTCTGATGCACAAACACAAGCTTAAATCCCACAAGCTTGCTTTCACCCTCACATGTCCTGACACGCTCAAAAATGTGCTTCACATTACACACCTGACTTCTCTTACTCTGTCAGCCTATATACTAAACCACACTCCACCCAGTGTCTAACAATGGAATTACAACAAACATTCAATGGCTCTTACACAATGTGTTTAATATTTAGGCAAATAAACTACTATATATTCTGCAAACACGGAAAGAAATGCACAATGCCTAGTGTGTGTGTGTGTGTGTGTGTGTGTGTGTGTGTGAATCATCAGTTCTGTTCTTCTCTCACCATCTGTGTATCTGTATATTCTCACAGGTGTTTTAGGAGGATTCGTTCCTTTAATCAGAATGATGCTGGAGTGATGACCCCTGCCAATGAGATGTATGCGACTATAATAGCCCCTTTCACACAGCGCGTTGATCCCGGGAAATTGCCAGAACGCCTTCTGTGTGAACGCAAACACGACCCGGGATTGATCCCGGGATCGATGCCGGGTTGGGGACCTAGTAACATTGCCGGGATCAGTCCCGGAACGCGCGCTGTGTGAACAAAAGCTGTAATCAATGCCGTGTCGTAATGATGACGCTGAAGTGAAGTGAAAGCAGGTTGGTGAAACGGTACGTAATGCGCAGTTTATGATCGAATCAGAGAAAAAAATGCACAAGCGTG